TGTAACGCGAGTAGTCGTCGACAACCAGCAGAAAGTACCGCTCACCGCCCTGTCCACGGACGCGGGCTGGGCCCCACACGTCCAGGTGGAGGGTCTGCAGAGGAGCCTCGGTCGGGGGAAACGAGGAGGAGTGAGGAGCGGCGCGCTGCCGCCCCTCGACGCAAGGAAGGCAAGGCGGCGCAGGCGAGGCAGGGAGGGGAGGGAGAGACCGGGGAAGACCGGACACAAGGTGACGACGGTGCATGCCACGAAGGCGCGGCAAGGAGGGGTGACCCAGGCGGTGGTGCCAGAGAAGGGTCTGGTGCGACAGGGAGCGACACTCACAGGGGTGGGCTACTAGACCTGACGCAGACACCTGACCAACAGCAGCGACCTGAGGAGACACAGTGGTCAGTGTGTAGAGACTCGACCCGGGCTGACGAGTGAACGTAGCCAGGTGACGGCCAGTCCTGGAGCAAGTGAGGATCACCACACGCTGTTGTGAGGATCTGGTTCAGGAAAGATGATTCTATTGAATGATTCACCTGGGTACAAGGCGAGGCTATATATAGGCTCGACACAAAGGCAGTAACCCGGGTGTTACTAGAAGGTTCCACGGGTCGCGAAGCGTCCCGAACGGGTCCTTCCCGAATTCGGTAGAAGGCAATTCGGTGGCAACCGAAAAGCCTAGAATTCGGTGCACTCAACCTAGTTCGGTGCCTACAACTATAATAACTATAGTAAATGCAACGAATCTAGGAAATCAAGCAAAAGCATGCAAGATAAAATAAAGCTAAGCTAGTAATAACATAATAAAGTCCAGGCAAGCTAGCAAAGCCAGCATAAGCCGTCGTACTCTCACACGTCCCCCCCTCAAAGATGGGTGGCGTGAAAAACACCCTGCTTGACAATATAGTCCTTGAGAGCACGGCGTGCGTTGCCCATATCAACTTCTGCAACCCAACTGTCCTCCGATGGGTCATATCCCTTTCAGCGTATCAGGAACTCGAGCGTGTTGCCGCGTCTACGTCGATGAGCGAGAACTTTTTCCACCTCGTACTCTGGTTCATCCTGTATGAGAACAGGTGATGGTGGCGGTAGCTGGCGTCCCTAGAACTGTTGGCTGGGGTCCTTGTATGGCCTTTGTAGCCGAACATGGAAAGCGTTGTGAAGCTTCCACGTAGTAGGTAAGCGCAAGCGGAATGTTACTGGTGTCACCTGTGCCTCAATGCGAAAAGGACCACAGAAGCGAGGCCGGAGCTTGGACGGTAGGTGAGACAGGTTCAAGTTGTGCGTATCAAGAAGCACCTGATCTCCGACTGCTACTGAGTGATCACGTTGCTGGTGATCGGCATACTGCTTCTGGGAGTTCTGCATCGTGGTAAGACGTCGCTGAGTCTTCTCCCATAACTGCTGCATGGTGGTGACGAAGTCGTGTGCGGCTTGGACGTGTGCCGGTGTGGTTGGCTGCTGTGGTGTAAGTGGTTCCCGTCCGTAGCACAGGAAGAATGGAGATTTCCTTGTGGCTGCATGCGACGCGTTGTTGTAAGCGAACTCAAGTGTCGGTAACAGTGAATCCCAGTGGTTGACGTCGTCTTTGCAAGCTGTGCGCAGTAACTGTTCAACCACCTGATTGAGTCGCTCCGTCTGTCCGTAAGTCTGGGGGTGGTACACTGAAGACATCGCAAGCTTTGTCCCCAACAATCCCATGAGTTCCCTCCAGAACTTACTAGTGAACTTAGGGTCTCTGTCCGAGAGAAGTGTAGCGGGGATGCCGTGGATGGTGATGATGCGGTCGAAGAAGAGGCGAGCAGTTGCTTCAGTAGTAGCCGTGGCGTTGGTCGGGATGAAGTGTCCCATTTTAGAGAACTTATCGATCACCACGAGTATAGCGTCATGCCCTCGTGAGGTCGAAGAAAACCCAGTAATGAAGTCTAGGCTGACAACTTGCCATGGCTGCTCCGGTACGGGTAGAGGCTGAAGTAACCCTACTTTTTTCTGCTTGCTACTCTTCATCCACTGGCACGTGTCGAATGAAGTGACGAACTGCTGCACGTCTGTTGCCATCCGGGGCCAGTAATAATACTTTGCTATTCCCGCTAACGTCTTGTTGCTCCCGAAATGTCCCGCGTATGCCACATCGTGAAACTCCTCCTGTACGATCTGTCGGAGCGGGGCATAGTTCGGTACCCAAATCTTTCCTGATCCCTTTCTTACAGCTAGGTCCTTCTCCCACTATAACAGCTTCTGTTTCTCTGCTGTAGCGATCTCCGCGTCCACGGAGTATCCATGCTAGAATAGACCCTTGAGCAGAGGGTTCATCCCGTCAAGTTGGATGCCTGCTACATGACCGGGGCGGCTCAACGCGTCAGCTTTGTTGTGTAGCCCGGGCTTGTAGACGATGTCGTAATGGAAGTGGGTCTCCAAGAAATCTACCCACCGCACCTGTCGTCGTGAGAGTGTCGGCTGCGACTTCAGGTATTTGAGGCTGCAGTGGTCAGTGTAAACTGTAGTCTTGGCTCCCTCTAGGTAACACCTCCACGCCTTGAAGGCTGTGATTATCGCTAAGGCTTCCTTGTCATGGATAGGGTAGTTCAGTTCTGCTCCGTGTAGCTTCTTACTCAGATAGGCGATGGGCTGCAAATCGCGTTCGTGATCCTGCATCAGTACTGCTCCGACTGCTTGGTCACTAGCGTCTGCTTCCACCACATAGTCTCTGTCTGGATTCGGTAGGATGAGTACTGGCGCTGTAGTCAGTGCTGTCTGTAGCTGCTCCATGGCTTGCTGATGAGGAGTATCCCCTGTATCCGTCCACCTTCGCAGCTTCACACGTTTCCCGTCGTTGTAGATACACGCCTTCCGGTTGACCCAGTCGATCTCGGGGTTGAACCGCTTCAGAAAATCACGCCCCAAGATGAAATCTAATCCCTTGATGTTCGTGATCGGCAACGTCGGCTTCAACCTTAACGCTCCTATCTGCAGCTGCAGTGTTGACTCGCCGTGGATGGGAAGCTTCGTACCGTCCACCATCGTTGCTGTAAACTGGGTCTCCTCCGATGACTCTCCAATTTTCTCCAACGTCCCGCGGTCGCACACCGAGTGGGACGCACCACTGTCCACGAGTGCCTGGAGGCGTCGCTCGTTGCAGATCACCTCGAGTACTAGTGGCTGTTGCTGCTCCGAGTAGCCATAGCTGGTATCGCTTGTAGGATCGTAGGGTACGTCGAATATGTCATCCCTAGGTCCTGCGCTCGAAGATGCAGCTTCAATATCAGGAATCACCTGAGTAGGGTTAGAAGGATTTATCCGAGGCTGGTACAGCTTCTCTTGAGCCTGGAACCTTCCCCTAGGCCTTTGCAGCTGTGTAGGCTTCATCTGTGGGGAACAGGGAGCCTTTAAACAGAGCTGCTGGGAGAGAATATTAACTCCTCGGAACGCTCGACCCTTGTTAGCGCTCCGGAGTAGGGTCCCCATATTACCCGGTACCGGTTTAATTTCTGACTCTCCCTTATTAAAGGCTTGAAACCCACGAGAAGTAATATTCTTACTTGTCGAGGTGTACGGCTGGAGTTTCCCAGTCGGTGCAGGGTCTTGTTTCGCGGAGTCTCCATTTGTCTCGGCGATTTCCCCTGGTGCTGGCTGGTCGTGACGTTTTAAACTCGCGCCATCATATTCTCCTTTTTTCGCCCTCTCCGAAGTTGCCATGTTGTCCGTTTTCTGCTTCGGGGGTGCCGCACTGTTCTTGTATCTCAGCTCCGCACGCTTTCCCCTCATTTCCCAACACGCCAAGATACGATGTCCTGTAGCGCCGCAAAATTTGTACGTCTCAGTTTTTGCTAGCCGCTGCTCCACATCGCCCTCGTCGTTCTCCATCGGTTCAGCAGTCGTGGGTGGTGCCAATCGCCCCATGCCACTAGTTGGCTTGTTGCGTCGTGTTCCGTAGTAGCTACTGTTCAACGTGTCGAACTGTTCGATCAGTGCTGCTCGAAACTGCGCCCACGTCCCTTCGCCTTGGACTATTCTGTTGTTGATCCACTCTGGAGCTGGGCCTTGTAACAGTGTTGCTGCGAGCCGTATGCGCATTGCGTCTTCTGTCGGGGTCGTGCATCCAACGGCTTCGAAGTAAATTTCGAGTTCAGCTACAAATCGACGAACGTCGTTCCCTTTAACTATGAAATCGAACGCCTCCGGTAGCCTCAGCTTCACTGCTTGGAGGTTAACTGTAGCTGCTGCCGTTGTCGCATGTAGAATTGTCGGTGTCGTCGCCGCTGCTGCTGCTTCTGCTGCTGCTGTCGCTGCTGCTGTGGCGGTTGCCGACTGGTTCGCAAGGAGTTTCTCGAGTCGTGGGAGCGCCGCACATATCCGCTTATGCTCGGCACGTAACTCCGCGATTTTCTGTACTGAAATATCTCTTTTTCCCTCCATTTGGCGATTTACAGAAAGAAGCGCGACGAAAATAATTGAATTTCGGGTGCTGGTCGACTTACTGCGAGTCGAGTTGACTGTAAAATCGACGAGCACAAATTCTGTAAGTTGCGTAAATCTTCCTTAGTCGAAATTCGCGTTCGATCTCGGCCGTTGAGAAGAAAATCGATCCGACGCTCCAAATTCCAACGTTTCGGCGGTTGAGGACCTCGCGTGTAAACCCGCTCTGATTACCAAGTGTGAGGATCTGGTTCAGGAAAGATGATTCTATTGAATGATTCACCTGGGTACAAGGCGAGGCTATATATAGGCTCGACACAAAGGCAGTAACCCGGGTGTTACTAGAAGGTTCCGCGGGTCGCGAAGCGTCCCGAACGGGTCCTTCCCGAATTCGGTAGAAGGCAATTCGGTGGCAACCGAAAAGCCTAGAATTCGGTGCACTCAACCTAGTTCGGTGCCTACAACTATAATAACTATAGTAAAGGCAACGAATCTAGGAAATCAAGCAAAAGCATGCAAGATAAAATAAAGCTAAGCTAGTAATAACATAATAAAGTCCAGGCAAGCTAGCAAAGCCAGCATAAGCTGTCGTACTCTCACAGCTGTCCTCCAGGGGTGAAGGTGTCAACCCAGTGATCCTGGATAACAGCGTTGCTCACCAAGTTCGTAGAGAACGAGGGGAGGTGGAAACCCGACAACGAGCCAGACGGAACCGCCGGACAGGGAAGCACAGTGGTAGACCGTGCAAGAACTGGACCCCCGGAGGGGTCAGCCAGGGAGACTGGAACTGGTGCAGGGAGGGGAGTGAGCTTAGTACTGTCACGAAAGAAGCAGCGGGAAGCACTTGAGTCAAGCGTGAAGGTGTGCAAGGCCTCAGCGGGCGCAGTACCGGAGAGCGCAGACTCGCTAGCAGGAGGGGGTGTACCGAAGGGAGTAGCCTCGGAAGGCACAGTACCTGAGAGAGCAGACTCGCTGGTACCTAGGGCAGTGGGCTCTATACCTGGGTCAGGCGGCACACACAAGTAACAGTCCCCCTCAGCACTAACAGTCAATGCATACATGGCAGCAATAATAGCATCATAATCAAGAGCAAAGATATCAACACCAGCCCTCATCAGATCAGCCCAGCGGGGGCACTCAACCTCCTCGCCCATCTCCTCACGCCAAGCGTCGTCAAGGCGGGAGAAGCAGCGGTACTGGGTGTGGAACCTCCCACACTTCTGCCCCTTGCGTTCACCTGTGCGAATGACATAGGAACAGCGACCACTGCCTCCCGACGTCCTACGCTGAGCAAGCCACTCACGGAGCTGCTGGGTCGTCTGAGGACGCTGCTGCTGCTGAGAGGTCTGGCCCGAGCTAGGGCCTACACTCCGACCACCACCGCCGCCACTACCGCCGCTCCGACCGCCACCGCCACCACTGCCACCGCCGCTGCCACCGCCGCCACCGCTGCCACCACTCCCGCCGCCGCCCCCGCCCCCACCGCTGCCTCCACTCCCACCAGCACTCCCGCCACCGCTCCCTCCGGCACCGCCTCCTCCCCCACCTCCCCCACCACCTCCCCCCCCAGCGCCACCCCCGCCACCCTTGCCCCCCTTGCCCTTGCCGGTGCGGCGCCTCCCACCAGGAGCAGAAGCAGCGCCAGCAGACTCAGCACCAAGGAGGTCAACAGCAGCAGCAGTAGCGTAGGAGGGAGCGAGGGGAGAGGGAGAACACCCCTCAAAGATGGGGGTGCGAGGAGCGCCACGAGCAGCACCTACAGCTACAATGCTCTTCTCGGCTGCTAGCAGCTTCTCCTCTAGGAGGGCGACTGTGAGCTCAGTGGGACAGCGGGCAAGGAAGTAGTCTCGGACTGAGCTGAGGGTGTCAGGGAGACGGGTGACTATGAAATGGAGCGTCCAGTACAGTGGAGGGGGGTTCTTAGCGCAGAACTCGGTGGGAAGGGCGGCACGCAGGCGAGCGTCACTAGTGCGAAGGTGGGTGATGAGATCGGCGACTGTAGCAAAGGTGGACAGCTCAGGGAACAGGTAAGGCAGCATGAGGCGGCTAAGCTCGGCTGTGGCAGGTGAGGAGTAGCGAGCAACGACAGCGTCGTATAGGGCTTTAGCGGTTTTGCAGTCGCCAAAGTGCTCTAGCTCAGCGAACGGCAGGTGACTGCGAATAGCCAGGCGAGATGCAGCGTCACGAGTCTGCCACTGTGAACGTACACTAAGCTCGGCTGTGGCAGCTGGAGCAGCGGCAGCACCAGACGCGTAGTCATAGAGGGAGACGTGGTCCGTGCTATTGCTCATAAGATACAACTGCAGGTCGTCGAGCCAGGAAGTGAACTGCACGGGACGGCCCTCAGCATCGAAGGAAAGAACGCGAATAGAGGCCATAGCTCAGGCGTGAGGGCACAGCAGAGCAGCGGCAGCAGCAGAGGGGACGCGCTAGAGCGAAGCTAGCAGCCGCAGCAGGAGCAAGCGGCGGTGCACGGGCAGGGAGCAGCAGGCGAGGCGGGCGGCGCACGCGGGTGCGTGGGGCCGCGGGGCTGCGCGCGTAGGGGAGAAGGGGCGGCCGCGGCAGCAGCAGGGCTGGCGGCGGGCGGGTAGGGCTACGGGCGGGCAGCGCGACGGGCGGGCAACCGGGTGGGCAGCGTGGCGGGCAGCGCGGCGGACAGCGCGACGGGCGGGCGACGCGGCAGGCAGCGCGACGGCGGGCAGCGCGGCGGGCAGTGCGACGGGCGGGCAGCGCGGCGTGCAGCTCGACGGGCGGGCAGCGCGGCGAGCGGGCGCAGCGGGCTGCGCGACGGGCGGGCGACGCGGCAGGCAGCGCGACGGCGGGCAGCGCGGCGGGCAGCGCGGCAGGCAGCACGACGGGCGGGCAGCGCGGGCGCACGAGGGCGCTAGCGAGGGGCGCACGAGGGCGCTAACTAGGGCGCGTGAGGGCGCTAACGAGGGGCGCGCGAGGGCGCAGCGAGGGCGCTAACGAGGGCGCAGCTAGGGCGCAACGAGGGCGCATCGAGGGTAGGGCGCGGGGTAGCGTGGTAACCGCATGCGTGCGACGGTGGGCCCTAAAATAAAGATCGGTAGGTCCTAGGGACCTCCTGCTCTGATACCATGTCAAGATTCTAGGCAAGAATGAATGCATTGAGAGGAGAACAAGAGTACAAGTACCTAACCCTAATGGGGTTGTACCCTATATTGTCTACCCCACTACAGCCTACCAACACATCATAATTTAACAGATTACAGGCTTCTCACCTGGTGGTCCCTGCAATTTCAGATTTTTTGACTTCTGAACACTGATCCATTCAGAATAGTGCTTTAGCGAACCCTGAAATATTGTATCTAGGCTCTGAGTGGTTTTCTTACTGACTCTGTCAATGTAGAGTACGCGTTCTGTGGACTCTGAATTTGACCTTATCGGAAAGAAGTTTCTCCGAAATTTCCTTCCGATAACCCCGCCTTCGGATTGATCGCAGTACAGCCAGAGCGTGAGCAGCGCGCGGCAACATGTCTGACTGGTGAATACACTCTGTTACGAATAGTAATACTCAAATGTTACTGTGCACTCCTCACCGCAGCAAAGAGAAGCATGCAGTTTCAAGAATGAACGCGAAGAGTCAGACGGTTAAGAATTGACTCGAAGCGTCAGACAGTTACAGCACATCTGGACCGTCGGAAGCAGACGACATCAGACAGCTGCAGGCAGGATGGTTTTGGCGGGAACAGTTTCGTAACTACACGCGCCGCACGGTTGGGAATGCCTTTGAATAAGGGAATGTACCCCTTAGAGTACATGGCTAGTTAGGTCGTTTCGTATTCCCCTGTACTCTTATTTATATCGTTGTATTTGCATGCTTTCAATATCTCAAGCATTTTACATTCACTCTGCTATTGAGGTCAAGGGCCCACCAACACTACCTTACTGCTTGCGAACCTTCCCGAGTAGATCCTGGTGACAATCAACTTCTGATTCTAGCATGGTATGAGAGCGGCTCGGGAATCCTTCGCACTGCCACTCCCGAAAATTGTGACATTCGGAAAGTGGCGTCCGGCACACGATCGCGTGTGAGAATGGCCGGAGGATCTGGTGGTCAGACTAATCTGACGGCTGAAGCGCAACCCAACCCGGCTGCGACAAGCGAGAACACGACGACGATCGGCACCGAAGTCCTCGCACAACTCCTTCAGCGACTTACCAGCCTGGAGCAAGGGCTCCAAACGTTGCGGGCCGGCGACGCGGGAACATCCTCGCAACCTTCTCAACCGGCCCCAACTGGCCAGAACGCCGCCCCGTACACATTCTCCCTCAACACAAATGGCTCAACCCCCAAGGCTCCCCGTCCCAGTGATGAGGCAATTCTTTCTGCTCAATCAAGGTTTCTCAGCATATCAAAAATAAAGACAAGTACCTGTTTTGACGGCATAGACTTCTATACCTGGAGCTTCGAACTGGAGCTCTTGCTGCAGAATGCCCAAATCTTCCATTACTTCGATGGGAGCTACGCGGAGCCAGCTGAGGACACCAACGACGCCAGGACTCGCTACTACAACGAGTCTCTGATGGCGTACGGAGTCCTCCTGCGCAACATGTCGCCGGCGGAGCAACTCAACATAAGTTCGTACAAGACATCGGCTCGTCCCCGTCGCCACCACTCATCTTGAGATCCTCTTTCTCCTCTTCCCTTTCCGAATCTCCCTCACTCTCCACCCCTCTCCCGCCGCCCTCATTCAATTCAATTCCCTCGTCGCCATGGCTCACAACACCCTGCCCGGCGCCATCCCCATTGCGCTCATCCTCACCGTCCATCTCGCCAAAAACTGACCCCTCTAGATGTCTGTCGTTTTGGTTAGTTTCTGATCGTCCATTCCACAACCCCCTCCTCTCCTCCAACTCTACTCTCTCCCCATTCGTTTTACTCACATCGTTACAGTCACGCCCCTCCCATTCCTCGCATGGCAAGATCAGCTCCAAAATCGGGTCGTGAAGCGACAGTCTCTTTCCACCACAAGTTGACGGCTGGTAGCTACCAGTTGATGGCTGGTAGCTACCAGTTGACGGCTGGTAGCTACCAGTTGACGGCTGGTAGCTACTAGTAGGCAGCTGCTTTAAAGCTGTGTTCGACGAAGCTTGGCCAGTTAACAGATAGCAATCTATTGAGACGACCGCGACGACAAGCAACACTAGTACGAGGCGTGTTGGTTGACTTGCACTAGTAGACTTTTGAGTCGACTCAAAAGTTTGCACCGGTAGACTTTTGAGTCGACTCAAAAGTTTGCACCGGTACACTTTTGAGTCGACTCAAAAGTTTGCACCGGTAGACTTTTGAGTCGACTCAAAAGTTTGCACCGGTAGACTTTTGAGTCGACTCAAAAGTTTGCACCGGTAGACTTTTGAGTCGACTCAAAAGTTTGCACCGGTATACTTTTGAGTCGACTCAAAAGTTTGCACCGGTAGTTGTAATAGTGCGGCTTCGAACGTGGCGAGCTGCGAAACTCTTGAAAATGGCTGCGGTTGCCATGGTCGTCAACAGAGGAAAATCAAGATGTTAGGGTACTAGTTGTACTAACTTAGTGCTAGTTGAACTACCAGTAACACATGGTGCTAGAGCAAAGCGCTGAACAGGATGTGTTCTTGGAATTTCTGAAAGCACATCCTAAGCTTTATCAGAGACACCCAACACTGGGAGTTTTGAGCCATCTCAACACAGCCTGTCAGAAAACAGGAGACACTGAGTTTTGAGTCTGACTCTTACAGCCCTATCAGAACCAGCAGGCGGTGAGCCGATAGGATCAGAATCAGCAGGCGATCAGAGGATAGGTTCAGAAAACAGCAAGCAATCAGCGGTGACCAGGGCTGGGCGTGTCCCACTCGCATTATTCTAGGGTTTAGAGCTGTTCCGCGCTAGTCTCCGCGCTGCGCTGGTCCCCTGGGGTCCAGGCGGCCTGAATCTGCACCGATGTTACACTCTTTAGTCCGAAGCCCTTGGCATTAGCGCTAAACGAAGATTCCGCAAAGTATCCGTTGCACGGGGCTTTATTTTGGGGATGGGGACCATACCGGCTCTGGTCCAGGCTATCCGCCGACCACGCCCAGCGTCAGCCTGTCGTGAACTCACACTGTGAACAAGGGCAAGCGAAGCCCACCACGCGAGCAGGGCAACAAAAAACGGGGAGGGGTCCGGCTCCGACCCGGAGTCAGACCAGGAACCAGCTGAGGTTGCTCCGCCGCATGACGACACGTGCGGAAAACTTGAAGTTGTTTTCATGTTTGCATGGCACTCTAGAAAAGCCACAGGGGTACGCTGTCAAGCCTAGTCAAGAGGACTGTCGGGTATGAACTCTGCTAAACAGCGTATGAACGGCGAACGTAGTTTCCAGCGTCAACCATATCAGGGCGCATTCCTGCACTTCGGGTCTTCCGAGATAGTGAAAAATCGGAATGCCCCCCAATCTCTTGATTCCGAACTTCCGATTGGATCCCACAATTTCGGATGACCCGAAGTGCAGGAATGCACCCTCACAGCCCATCTGGGCAAGTCAAGAGGATCTGTCAGTTCTGCGAGCATTGTGGTTGCCCTTCCTTTCATTCGGCTCAGAATCAGTTACTGCTAGGACGTGGTACATTTGAAACTTTCGGGGACCGAGCCTGGGCTCATTCGTGGCAACTCCCCAAATGACATTGAAGCCTCGCTCGAACCCGACTCAGCAGGCCAATAATTTCGGCGATACCGGCAAACGCGGAACGAACATAAGATGCTCGTGTTTCGCTCACGTGCATAGTTTCGCTCGCGTATGTAGCTCCCTCAAATGTGGTCCTGGCGACGGGAGTGGGCGAAATGCAAGAGAATAAGAGTTTGCCAGCGCATGTGCGCTTTCTGTTCATGTCAGGACCATTCGTGTGACGTTACCAGACAGGAATTATAGATACTGCGTTCGAGAAGGAGGTTGAATGCGGAAAAAAGGGCTTTGAAGAACGGAAAGTGATACCTGCTACTTCAGGGCGTGTCTTGCTCCTTGGAAGTACGTACATTCATTTTTAGGTACTGTTACCCGATAACACCTTGTTACAATTGCAATATCCTACCAACCAGACAGGCCTCTTGATTCCTTTCTGGCATACGTTTTTTTTACGTGTCCAAGTTCGTGGCAATGGTACCATACATATTTCTCTTCAGGCTTATCCTTAAACAAAAACACAGCGGTGAACTTGTCGCAGCTCTATGCTATGTCAGCAGTAGTTCAATTCACATCAGATCAAACCCTGATCCAGTCAAATTTTAATGCTGGGGCCACAGGTACCGTATGTCTCTGCCATTATTCTTCCAGATTTTGCAGATATGGTACTACTACCAAGTGTCGAAGTCACCTCGGCTATATCAAACTGATCAGAAGCCCCCACAGTGAAGCACCTCCTGTTCTAAAAACACCGCTCAAAAGCACCCTCTCAGCTCTGGTCTGGATGGACAACTCGGGACGCGCTATTCTCCTCGGGATCTTGCCAACGAAGCTCGCACTCTCCCCACCAAATTTGTTGCCTAGAATATTTTTTTAGCCGTCTCAAGAAAGCACCCCCTGGGTTCCGGAGTCCGGACTACTCCACACGCGATATTCTGCGCAGAATCTTGCCAATGAAGCTCACGCTCTCCCCGCCAAAGTTGCTGCCTAGGCGACCTTTGAGACGTCTCAAGAAAGCACCTCCACGGGCTCCGGTCTACTCTACACGCGATATTCTGCGTAGAATCTTGCCAATAAAGCTCGCACTCTCCCCGCCGAAGTTGTTGCCGAGATCTATCTTCTGCTTGCCTCCTGCCTTGGCCTGCTGCGCATTGCGCATATCCCTCAGCTCTGAGCGGAGCACCTGGTGGGAGACCAAGAGGGAGAAATTAGCGGCAAGCAAAGGGCAAACAAGAGGAGGCTTCAGTAACAGCACAGTAGGGTGCGACTCAAAAGCACTGCCACGTGTCTGCCTTGGCCTGCTGTGCGTTGCGCATGTCCCTCAGCTCTGAGCGGAGCACCTGGTGGGAGACACAGGGTGATATTAGGGGCAAGCAAGGGGCAAAGATTCTTCTCAGGGGATTCTTCTCCTCTTGCCAATGAAGCTCACACTCTCCCCGCCAAAGTTGTTGCCTACATCAATCTTCTGCTTTCCACCTGCCCTGGCCTGCTGTGCGTTGCACATGTCCCTCAGCTCTGAGCAGAGCACCTGGTGGGAGACCAAGAGGGAGAAATTAGCGGCAAGCAAAGGGCAAACAAGAGGAGGCTTCAGTAACAGCACAGTAGGGTGCGACTCAAAAGCACTGCCACGTGTCTGCCTTGGCCTGCTGTGCGTTGCGCATGTCCCACAGCTCTGAGCGGAGCACCTGGTGGGAGACACAGGGGCAAATTAAGGGCAAGCAAGAGGAGACTTGAGTAACAGTACAGCAGGGTCCACCTCTGTTGTGAGACTTTTGAGTCGACTCAAAGGGCAAGCAAGAGGAGACTTCAGCAACAGTACAGCAGGGTCCACCTCTGTTGCACTGCTGCCTGACCGGCTTGGCCCTGCTGTGGGTTGCGCATTCCGCAAAGATCCGAACGGAGCACGGAGATACGGCAGGACAAGGGGCAAACTAAGGAGCTTCATATTTGATACTGAATGGGCTGCATCGCCCGCTTCTCCGCCCTCTTCTCTGCCCTCCTCCTGCCTCGGGCCTCCTCCTGTCTCAGAAGAAAGACAAGGGAGAGCGTGGACTCTCACAGTCTGTTTGCAGCAGAATGCGCCTCTTGCTTCTCCGCAAAAGAAGCAGCAGTTGAGAGAGTATGCGAGAGGGAGAGAGTGAGAGAGCAGGAGAGGGTGTGAGAGGGAGAGGGTGAGGGAGGGAGAGAGAGGGAGAGAGCGGGACTCACGAAGTCTGTTCGCAGCAGCATGCGCCTCTTGCTGCTCCTCAGGGCAGCAGCCGGTGAGAGAGTGACAGAGGGCGAGAGTACGAGAGAAGGGGAGAGTGAGAGAGCGAGGGAGGGGGAGAGAGAGAAAGTGAGGGAGGGGGAGAGCATGGACTCACAAAGTCTGTTCGGAGCAGAATGCGCCTCTCACTGCTCCTCAGGGCAGCAGCAGCCATCACGCGCACCCGCTGCTCGCCATCATCCTCTAGATAGTCATCGCTGTTGCCCTCCAGTAGAGCTTCATCCTCCTGTGTTTCAGCAGACGAGAGAGACAGACCAGGGGGGTTCAAGCAGCAGGGGTGCTTGACGACGTGTGTTTACCCGCTGCTCGCCATCATCCTCTAGATAGTCATCGCTGTTGCCCTCCAGTAGAGCTTCATCCTCCTGCAAAAAGGGGAGAGGGATTGATGAGCGGAGAGTGGAAGAGAGAGTGAGGCCACTACTGAAGGACCATCCGAGGGAGCCACAGCAGCCATCACGCGCACCCGCTGCTCACCATCGTCCTCCAGATAATCGTCACTGTTGCCCTCCAACAGGGCCTCATCCTCCTGCAGTACAGGACATGGGAGGAAGGCAATGAGGTTGAATGAGTGGAGTAGCAGCACCCATTACAAGCACAAATAACCTTCTGACCCATTAAAGAGTGGTATAGTAACTAGCTAGGGCGAGGCGGCAGGCAGCGAGAATGACCTCCGTGGCCCCCAGGCTCTAGCTCGCGGTGGAGGGAAAATGAGGTGGTGAAGGGCAATACACTAATCCGCCTATGCACAACCATATCCGGTACACATACTCGCCACAAGCACAGGTAAACATCTGACCTGCAGAGTGGTGGAGTAGTCAGCTATGCCAGGCGGCAGGCAGCGAGAATGACCTCCCTGGCCTCCAGCTCGTGCTCAAGAGTGAATGGGCGGGTGAAGAGCAAAACAATACCCCATGCACAACCGTACTCGTTACAATCACACCCATTACAAGCACATATAGCCTTCTGACCTGCAGAGTGGTGGAGTAACCAGCCAGCGCCAGGCGGCAGGCAGCGAGGATGACCTCCCTGGCCTCCAGCTCGTGGTCGAGAGTGAAGGAGGGGGTGAAGGGAAAAACAATACCTAAACCACCACCGTACCCATTACAATCATGCTCGTTAAAGGGAAGCTCACCTGAAGAGTGGTGGAGTAACCAGCTAGTGCCAGGCGGCAGGCAGCGAGGATGACCTCCCTGGCCTCCAGCTCGTGCTCGAGGGTGAAGGAGGGGGTGAAGGGGAGAGACGGCTTCTCTCGCTTAGCAGGCGCTGAGGGGGAGGAGGGCGAACCAGCGAATGAGGTGGCTGCTGCTAGCTGGAGGAGTGAAAGGGAAAGGGGGAGGTGCGGGGAAAGGGAAAGGTGGGAAATGGGGGAAATATGAGGGCTGGTGTGCTTGCTAGTATGCTATAGGGTATACAAGGCTGCGAGCACCCAATGACACACTAGGGGTCGGGGCGAAGGGCAGAGGCATGACGTTTTGAGGATGGCAGTGGTGGACAGAGGTGGGCAGTGGTGGGCACTGAGTCCAGCAGTGAGTGCAGCAGTAAGTGCAGGAGTGAGTGCAGCACGCGAGGGTAGTGGGCAAATTATGTTGCTGTTACTAGCTTGGATGACGAACGAGGGGGTTTTATAAGAGCTGGGGAATCAGGAAGACGTGATGATGGGTGGAATGTCGGTTGCAAACAGTGGTCGGCTAACCATCACGGCGAAGGACGGCTTTTGAGGCGCCTCAAAAGACATGATGATGGGTAGGACGTCGGTTACAAACATTGGTTTGACGCCTGGTTGGCTACCCATTACGGCGAAGGACGGGTTTGTGTGGCTGCGATGTTGCAGGGAGTTTTCGACAATTCTCAAAAAAACCCTCCACCAGGTGATTTTTAAGGCGCCTAAAAAAAACTCCCTGCAACAAACAGTGGTCCGCTATCCATCATGGCGAAGGACGGGTTGGTGTGGCTGCGATGGTTCAAGAGAGACAAGAAATTCCCATCGACTCTTGTCACGAGAGTGCCAGGAGCTCACCTCTCTGATCCGCTCCTCTGACACGGATGGCCCTGCAGCCATGAGGCGAATGACTGAGAGGGCTCAAGTCAATCAAATTCAATGATAGTCCATGCAAGAGTGCAAGGAGCTCACCTCTCTGATCTGGTCCTCTGACACGGATGGCCCAGCCGCTACGAGGCGAGCAAATGCGAGCAGCTGAGAGGGCCAGCCGTCCATGCGGACTGGGAAGGAGAGCGGGCTGGCAGGCAGGGGAAGGGAGGGGGTAGGGACAGGGGGTGGAGGGGAGGGAGGGCGAAGGGAGTGAGTATGCAGCGAAGGCGAGCAGCTGAGAGGGCCAGCCGTCCATGCGGACTGGGAAGGAGAGCGGGCTGGCAGGTAGAAAAGGGTGCGGTGGGGAGGGGGGAGGGAAGGGAAAGCAAGGGAGAATGGAGGGGGGAATTGGCAAGGCAACAAACTGAGGCGCTGTTCTGTTGGCTGTAAGGTTGCCGCACAATTTTAACCGATTTTTGAGGCGCCTCGAGAATGGGGGGGATAATTGGCACAGGCAGCAAATTGAGGCGTTTTTCCGCTGGCTTCAATGCTGCCACACAGTTTTGACCGATTTTTCAGGCCACATTTCAGGCGCCTCAAAAGAGGCCTCGCATAGATTGTGCGGTGGCTAGCTCTCGAGGCCGAATTGGCTGGGCTAATCGCCTGGTGAGGAAGCCTCCAAGAAGTTTTGTAAGGCTAAAACCGTAACATGTCGATCGGAACATAAATTTTCTCACCAGGTCAGCCCGTTCGCTTGCAATGCCGCCTCCTTGACAGGCAGGAACGGGTCGTCTGGTGAGAGCGCAACTCGCGAGCAGCAGGTGTGGTTGATGTACCTATGCTGAAACTTACAATGCTGAAGAGAAGCGAAGGGATCGTACCAAGTCAGCCCGTTGGCTCGCAGAGCCGCCTCCTTGATGGGCAGCAGGGGGTCGTCTGGGGAGAGCGCGAGCAGCAGCGGGACGGAGTCACTGGGGTTGCGCGTGGCGGGCACGACACCATATGCAAGGAGAAGCTCTCCGTTGGACTTGGGCCCGTACGAGACAAACACCTGCGACGGGCAGGGAGTGAGAGGGGAACGAGCAGCACCAGCAGCAGGGGAAGGGAATGGGTCGCTGGGGTTGCGTGTGGCAGGCACGACCCCGTAGGCCAGGAGAATCTCTCCGTTGGACTTGGGCCTGTACGAGACAAACACCTGCGGGGGATGAATGAAGGGGGGCATGGGGGAAATAGAAAGCGTCATGAGTGGAGAAAGGCGGCGGCAGGGGGATGGTGTCGCTGGAGTTGTGCGCGGTGAAGGCACGGTCGGTGGTGAAAACGATGCTGCCCTTCTACGAGTCCACGCCCTCTTGACTAGCTATACCTCACTCACCTCCTTGCCTCACCCCGCCTCCTCAACCAAGCAGCACACCTCACCTCCTTGCCCTTGCCCTCACCTCCTTGACTAAAGAGCGCCTCACCTCCTTGCCCTCACCTCCTTGCCCTCACCTCCTTGCCCTCACCTCCTTGCCCTTGGCAAAGGCACGATCGGTGGTGAAAACGACGCTGCCCTTCCACGTGTCGACGTCGATGCACGACTCAATCTGAAGGTGCGGGGACAGAGGGTGGAAATAGCGAGCAAGAGAGGGATTCTAGCTCAGGGTAGGCAGGTACATAAGGGCCAAGCCAACGCTGCCCTTCCACGTATCCACGTGTCCACGTGTCGATGCATGACTCGATCTCGCAGTAGGGGGGAGAAGGTGATGGGGGAAACAAGTTTAGTTTTGAGGCGCCTCAAAACTAGAAGGTGATGGGAGTAGAGAGCAAGCGAGGGTTTCTATCTTAGGCGGGTGGGTACATAAGACCCTACCCCTGACCTCAAAAGTCACCTCAAGGCGGGTGGGTACATAAGACCCTACCCCTGACCTCAAAAGTCACCTCTAGGCGGGTGGGTACATAAGACCCTACCCCTGGCCTCAAAAGTCACCTCACTGAATCCCGCACTGAATCCCACTGAATCCCGCTAAAGCCCTTCATTCAAACGCCCTTCCCCCCACCAGCTGTAGCAGCCCCCACCAACCCTACCTCCATCCCCCCTTCTCCCCCCCCTGACATCGCAGGGGCATGTGCCCCATAGGGCTGTGAGAATTCCGAATGATATTCGATTAAGGAAGTTTGGGGAGTTCACATAGTTGGAGGATGGATGGAGTTGGGTTGGGGTTTTACAAGCAGGCCAAACCACCTAACTAAACAACTGTTTGCTAAACACAGCTGCTGCCACGCTACGCCATGCCTCCTACTTGGGGCTCCATAGGATGGATGGAGTTGGGTTGGGGTCTTGCCACAATTTGCTGAAGGGTGTTTTTGAGAATTGGATGGAGCAGCAGGGTCTCAAAAACACCCTTCAGCAGCAGGATGGATGGAGTTGGGTTGGGGTCTTGCCACAATCTGGCCCCCACCAATAAGTTGGGGTTGGAGGGTTCAATAATTGTGGCAGAGGGGGCCACAATAATTGAACCTCCAATTATGGGAAGCCCAGTTTCTGGGGGGTCACAATATTGGACCAAGGTTGGGTTGGGCCCAATCCCTCAACTAGGGGAATCCCCAGTTCTACACCCAAGAAAGGCTTGGATGCTTACGTTATATATCTATCCCAAGTCTTGCTGGTCTATTCATGATACAGAGAATAGGAGTATTCAAACAAGGGGACCACCCGAGGGCCGTCCAGTTGACGAAACTCCACCCCCTCTCCAGAGGGTTTCATCTTTTGTTCTCAACCACCACCACCTCCTCTCCTCCCCCTCCCCCCTCTCCTCTCCTCCCCCTCCCCCCCTCTTCCCTCACCTCGCAGCTGTGGCTAAGCATGCACTCCCATGAGATGTAGCAAATGACTGTAGCAACTTGCCACCACTGCCGAGACTTCACTTCACCACCTACACCTCCCCCACCTGTCCCCTCACCCACCTGTCCCCTCACCCACCTGTCCCCTCACCCACCTGTCACCTCGCAGCTGTGGTTCAGCAATTCACCCCACCCACGGCACCAGCGTCAGGCGGTTGTAGCACCCCCACCATCCCCCCTTCGCCGCTGCTCCCACCTCCAACCCCCTACTCTCTCTGTCCCACCCTCTCACCTCGCAGCGGTGGTTCAGCATGTCTCCCCACGGCACCAGCGCCAGCTGGTTGCTGCAACCAGCTGTAGCACCGCCCATAGCTACACTACTGCAGCGCCCCACCTCCCACTACTACACTACTGCAGCGCCCCACCTCCCTCACCTCGCAGCGGTGATTCAGCATGTCTCCCCACGGCACCAGCGCCAGGCGATTGTTGCGCGATGGCAGGCGGACCTGAGGGGGCCGGCATGGGGAGGAGAGGGGAGAGGGGGGAGAGGTGGGGAGTGGGGAGGGGGGGGAAGAGGGGAAGGGGGGAGAGGGGAGGGGGGATAAAACAAGAGGGGGGGAGGAGAGAGAGGCATGAGTGAGAGAGGCATGAGTGAGAGAGGCATGAGTGAGAGAGGTATGAGTGAGAGAGGTATGAGTGAGAGAGGTATGAGTGAGAGAGGTATGAGTGAGAGAGGTATGAGTGAGAGAGGTATGAGTGAGAGAGGCATGAGTGAGAGAGGTATGAGTGAGAGAGGCATGAGTGAGAGAGGCATGAGTGAGAGAGGTATGAGTGAGAGAGGTATGAGTGAGAGAGGTATGAGTGAGAGAGGTATGAGTGAGAGAGGTATGAGTGAGAGAGGTATGAGTGAGAGAGGTATGAGTGAGAGAGGCATGAGTGAGAGAGGTATGAGTGAGAGAGGCATGAGTGAGAGAGGTATGAGTGAGAGAGGCATGAGTGAGAGAGGTATGAGTGAGAGAGGTATGAGTGAGAGAGGCATGAGTGAGAGAGGTATGAGTGAGAGAGGCATGGGTGAGAGAGGTATGAGTGAGAGAGGTATGAGTGAGAGAGGTATGAGTGAGAGAGGTATGAGTGAGAGAGGTATGAGTGAGAGAGGCATGAGTGAGAGAGGCATGAGTGAGAGAGGCATGAGTGAGAGAGGTATGAGTGAGAGAGGTATGAGTGAGAGAGGTATGAGTGAGAGAGGCATGAGTGAGAGAGGCATGAGTGAGAGAGGCATGAGTGAGAGAGGTATGAGTGAGAGAGGTATGAGTGAGAGAGGTATGAGTGAGAGAGGTATGAGTGAGAGAGGTATGAGTGAGAGAGGCATGAGTGAGAGAGGCATGAGTGAGAGAGGCATGAGTGAGAGAGGTATGAGTGAGAGAGGTATGAGTGAGAGAGGTATGAGTGAGAGAGGTATGAGTGAGAGAGGTATGAGTGAGAGAGGTATGAGTGAGAGAGGTATGAGTGAGAGAGGCATGAGTGAGAGAGGTATGAGTGAGAGAGGCATGAGTGAGAGAGGTATGAGTGAGAGAGGCATGAGTGAGAGAGGTATGAGTGAGAGAGGTATGAGTGAGAGAGGCATGAGTGAGAGAGGCATGAGTGAGAGAGGTATGAGTGAGAGAGGTATGAGTGAGAGAGGTATGAGTGAGAGAGGAATGAGTGAGAGAGGTATGAGTGAGAGAGGCATGAGTGAGAGAGGTATGAGTGAGAGAGGCATGGGTGAGAGAGGTATGAGTGAGAGAGGTATGAGTGAGAGAGGTATGAGTGAGAGAGGTATGAGTGAGAGAGGTATGAGTGAGAGAGGTATGAGTGAGAGAGGTATGAGTGAGAGAGGCATGAGTGAGAGAGGTATGAGTGAGAGAGGCATGAGTGAGAGAGGCATGAGTGAGAGAGGCATGAGTGAGAGAGGCATGAGTGAGAGAGGTATGAGTGAGAGAGGTATGAGTGAGAGAGGTATGAGTGAGAGAGGTATGAGTGAGAGAGGTATGAGTGAGAGAGGCATGAGTGAGAGAGGTATGAGTGAGAGAGGCATGAGTGAGAGAGGTATGAGTGAGAGAGGCATGAGTGAGAGAGGTATGAGTGAGAGAGGTATGAGTGAGAGAGGTATGAGTGAGAGAGGAATGAGTGAGAGAGGTATGAGTGAGAGAGGCATGAGTGAGAGAGGTATGAGTGAGAGAGGCATGGGTGAGAGAGGTATGAGTGAGAGAGGCATGAGTGAGAGAGGTATGAGTGAGAGAGGCATGAGTGAGAGAGGTATGAGTGAGAGAGGCATGAGTGAGAGAGGTATGAGTGAGAGAGGTATGAGTGAGAGAGGTATGAGTGAGAGAGGTATGAGTGAGAGAGGTATGAGTGAGAGAGGTATGAGTGAGAGAGGTATGAGTGAGAGAGGCATGAGTGAGAGAGGTATGAGTGAGAGAGGTATGAGTGAGAGAGGCATGAGTGAGAGAGGTATGAGTGAGAGAGGCATGAGTGAGAGAGGCATGAGTGAGAGAGGCATGAGTGAGAGAGGTATGAGTGAGAGAGGCATGAGTGAGAGAGGTATGAGTGAGAGAGGTATGAGTGAGAGAGGTATGAGTGAGAGAGGTATGAGTGAGAGAGGCATGAGTGAGAGAGGTATGAGAGAGGTATGAGTGAGAGAGGCATGAGTGAGAGAGGCATGAGTGAGAGAGGCATGAGTGAGAGAGGCATGAGTGAGAGAGGTATGAGTGAGAGAGGTATGAGTGAGAGAGGTATGAGTGAGAGAGGTATGAGTGAGAGAGGTATGAGTGAGAGAGGTATGAGTGAGAGAGGCATGAGTGAGAGAGGTATGAGTGAGAGAGGTATGAGTGAGAGAGGCATGAGTGAGAGAGGCATGAGTGAGAGAGGCATGAGTGAGAGAGGCATGAGTGAGAGAGGCATGAGTGAGAGAGGTATGAGTGAGAGAGGTATGAGTGAGAGAGGTATGAGTGAGAGAGGTATGAGTGAGAGAGGCATGAGTGAGAGAGGTATGAGTGAGAGAGGCATGAGTGAGAGAGGTATGAGTGAGAGAGGCATGAGTGAGAGAGGTATGAGTGAGAGAGGCATGAGTGAGAGAGGTATGAGTGAGAGAGGCATGAGTGAGAGAGGTATGAGTGAGAGAGGTATGAGTGAGAGAGGCATGAGTGAGAGAGGTATGAGTGAGAGAGGCATGAGTGAGAGAGGTATGAGTGAGAGAGGCATGAGTGAGAGAGGTATGAGTGAGAGAGGCATGAGTGAGAGAGGTATGAGTGAGAGAGGCATGAGTGAGAGAGGTATGAGTGAGAGAGGCATGAGTGAGAGAGGTATGAGTGAGAGAGGTATGAGTGAGAGAGGCATGAGCGAGAGAGGTATGAGTGAGAGAGGTATGAGTGAGAGAGGCATGAGTGAGAGAGGTATGAGAGAGGTATGAGTGAGAGAGGCATGAGTGAGAGAGGCATGAGTGAGAGAGGCATGAGTGAGAGAGGCATGAGTGAGAGAGGTATGAGTGAGAGAGGTATGAGTGAGAGAGGTATGAGTGAGAGAGGTATGAGTGAGAGAGGTATGAGTGAGAGAGGTATGAGTGAGAGAGGTATGAGTGAGAGAGGTATGAGTGAGAGAGGCATGAGTGAGAGAGGTATGAGTGAGAGAGGCATGAGTGAGAGAGGTATGAGTGAGAGAGGCATGAGTGAGAGAGGTATGAGTGAGAGAGGCATGAGTGAGAGAGGTATGAGTGAGAGAGGCATGAGTGAGAGAGGTATGAGTGAGAGAGGTATGAGTGAGAGAGGCATGAGCGAGAGAGGCATGAGTGAGAGAGGTATGAGTGAGAGGCATGAGTGAGAGAGGTATGAGTGAGAGAGGCATGAGTGAGAGAGGTATGAGTGAGAGAGGCATGAGTGAGAGAGGCATGAGTGAGAGAGGTATGAGTGAGAGAGGCATGAGTGAGAGAGGTATGAGTGAGAGAGGTATGAGTGAGAGAGGCATGAGTGAGAGAGGCATGAGTGAGAGAGGCATGAGTGAGAGAGGCATGAGTGAGAGAGGTATGAGTGAGAGAGGTATGAGTGAGAGAGGTATGAGTGAGAGAGGTATGAGTGAGAGAGGTATGAGTGAGAGAGGTATGAGTGAGAGAGGTATGAGTGAGAGAGGTATGAGTGAGAGAGGCATGAGTGAGAGAGGTATGAGTGAGAGAGGCATGAGTGAGAGAGGTATGAGTGAGAGAGGCATGAGTGAGAGAGGTATGAGTGAGAGAGGCATGAGTGAGAGAGGTATGAGTGAGAGAGGCATGAGTGAGAGAGGTATGAGTGAGAGAGGCATGAGTGAGAGAGGTATGAGTGAGAGAGGTATGAGTGAGAGAGGCATGAGTGAGAGAGGTATGAGTGAGAGAGGTATGAGTGAGAGAGGCATGAGTGAGAGAGGTATGAGTGAGAGAGGTATGAGTGAGAGAGGTATGAGTGAGAGAGGTATGAGTGAGAGAGGCATGAGTGAGAGAGGTATGAGTGAGGGAGGTATGAGTGAGAGAGGTATGAGTGAGAGAGGTATGAGTGAGAGAGGCATGAGTGAGAGAGGTATGAGTGAGAGAGGTATGAGTGAGAGAGGTATGAGTGAGAGAGGTATGAGTGAGAGAGGTATGAGTGAGAGAGGTATGAGTGAGAGAGGTATGAGTGAGAGAGGTATGAGTGAGAGAGGTATGAGTGAGAGAGGTGATGAGTGAGAGAGGTATGAGTGAGAGAGGTATGAGTGAGAGAGGTATGAGTGAGAGAGGCATGAGTGAGAGAGGGCCAGCCGGTTGTTGCGCAATGGAGGCGGACCTGCTAGGGCGAGGAGTGGGGGGAAGGAGTGGCGGGAACGGGAGAAGCGAGGGAAGAGGAGAGAGTGGAGGATGGGGGAGAGAGGGGAGGGGAGAGGAAAGGGGAGGGGAAGGGAGAGGGGTTGAGTGAGGGAGCGAGGCTGAATGACTAAAGGGGGGTGAGTGAGTGAGAGATGGGGGGTTAGTGAGGAAGGGGGGGGGGGTTGAGAGAGGGATGGGGGGGTGAGAGGAAGAGGTGGATAGACATGTGGCTTACGGAAAAAAGAGTGGGGAAGTAAAGAGTAAAACACCCTGGAAAGTGGAGGACTTTAGAGGAAGCGAGGAAATGAGGAGAGAAGGATAGAAGAGAAGAGAAGGATAGAGATGCCGTCGTGAGGAAAGAAGGAAAGGATAGATGAACAGAGAGGAGGATAGAGGAAAGGAGGCAAATGGATGCAGGTGCAGGGAGGGAGGTGCATTGCGGTGCATTGTGGTGCACTGCGGTGCAGGGAGTTGCAGCTGACCAGGCGGGAGAAGAGCACTGCGAAGGCCCACTTGAAGTTGTTGAGCGTGAACAGCTGAAGGAGGGGGATGAGATGAGGAGAGGAGTGTGAGTTGGATGCGAGTGAAGAGGTGGAGGGGTTGGAAAAGCAAAGAAAAGTGCGAAGATGAACGGCGGAAAAGGAGGGAATTCGCAAAGCAAGGGGCATTACGCGAGGAATGGGAGGGGGGGATGGGGAGTGATGAGGCAGAAGGCAGACAACAAAGTGCAAAGATGAACAGTGGAAGAGGAGGGAATTCGCAAAGTAAGGGGCATAATGCGAGGAGTGCGAGGGGGGGGATGAAGAGCGGGAGGGAGAGAACGAGGAGTGCGAGGGGGGGGATGAAGAGCGGGAGGGGTGGGGACGAGGAGTGAAAGGCACCAGCACCACACCCGCACCCGCCCCACACGCGCCCGCCCCGCACCCTGCGCACCCAATTGCACCCCGCAGCACCACCTAGTCCCTCCCCTCACCTCCCCCCACCCCACCACACTACCCTCCCCCCCCCCCCATCCCACCTTCTCTGGAAAGACGTCTCTGTGCTTTGAAAAGAGGGCAGCTTCAAGCTCTGTGAACCTGCAGCACACAGAGCGGTGGAGAGCGGTGGCAGACGAGGGGGTTGGGTGAGGGAGATGTGTGGCAGAGGGAGGGAGAGAGGTGGCAGAGGGAGGGAAAGACGTGGAGTAAGAGAGTAAAGGAAGAAGAAAGGAAGAACGCTGTGAAGTTAATACCAGAAGAGAGAAAAGGCAAAAGAGTATATTTTTGAGGCGCCTCAAAACTAGTTAATAGCAGAAGAGAGTAAAGGCAAAAGGGCCAAGAAAAAGTGTTTGCTCCGCCCTTCCTTCTCCCAAAACCCCCTCTCAGGCCCTCTTACGTGTTTGTGACGTCAGCGATGGCTTCAATCGCACGCTGCCTGACAGGAGACCCCTTTAGAAGCACATCCACCTCGTCAATGGACCTGGGAGGCAGAAAGGCGAAGAGGCAGGGAGGCAGAGAGGCAAGGGGGAAGAGAGGCAGGGGGGAAGTGAGGCAGGGGGGAAGAGAGGCAGGGGGGAAGAGAGGCAGGGGGGAAGAGAGGCGAAGAGATTGAGAATGGGGGAGCACATAGGAGGGTGGCCCTTTAGAAGCACATCCACCTCGTCACTGGACCTGAGAGGCAATAAGGCGAGCAGACAGGGAAGTGAGGATACAGGCTAAGTGATGGTTCAGCCTCACTCTCTCCCCCACCCAGCTCGCCGCTGGAGGATACATGGAGGGGCACAAGGCAGAGTCTCAATGTATCCACTCCACTCAGATGTCGCCCCTCTCTCCAATCTCTCCTCCTTTCTTAGCTCACCATTGCAGGATGCAGGGCGGGGCACGAGGCAGGGTTTCAATGTACCCACTCCACTCAGACGCCGCCCCTCTGCCAGTCCCTGTTTCTTCACCCCCCTTCTACCCACTGCACTCACCACTGGAGGATGCAGGGCGGAGCACGAGGCAGCGTCTCGATGTACCCACTCCACTCAGACGCCGCCCCTCTGCCGGCCTCGCTCAGCAAGTAGACAGCCAATGCCGGCCAGTCCGGCACGTTGGCCGCTTTGAGCAATGCGCCCACGCGGGGGCAGCTGTACACCTGCGAATGGGTTGGGGAAAGGAGGACGAGGGGGGAGAGACGGGAGAGGGGGGAAGGGGGGAAGGGGAAAGAAGGGAGGGGAAGTTGGTGGAGAGACGGGAGAGGGGGGAAGGGGGGAAGGGGAAAGAAGGGAGGGGAAGTTGGTGGAGAGACGGGAGAAGGGGGAAGGGGGGAAGGGGAAAGAAGGGAGGGGAAGTTGGTGGAGAGACGGGAGAGGGGGGAAGGGGGGAAGGGGAAAGAAGGGAGGGGAAGTTGGTGGAGAGACGGGAGAGGGGGGAAGGGGGGAAGGGGAAAGAAGGGAGGGGAAGTTGGTGGAGAGACGGGAGAGGGGGGAAGGGGGGAAGGGGAAAGAAGGGAGGGGAAGTTGGTGGAGAGACGGGAGAGGGGGGAAGGGGGGAAGGGGAAAGAAGGGAGGGGAAGTTGGTGGAGAGACGGGGGAGGAGTGGGGAGGGGTCGGATGGGGGATGGCAACGTAATTAGGGTGTTAGTCGGACGTTGGGAGTCATTCTAAACTGCCACTGTGAATTTCACGTTTTGGAGGGGGAAGATATCGGTCGCTGACATTGAAGAAAAATCGTACTTTCTTGGTTTGTTATGCTCACCCTCTGTCGCTCCGGCGACCGCCCTATCATTGCTCCCGTCCCAGTCACTCACCGTGTCCCTTTACAATTAACTCACCGTTTCTCCCGTTATAAGCAGCTTCTCTGGAATGTTCAAGATGCCCTCCCCTTTTCCGATGTTTTCCGTCGCCACGAGTCCACGCCCGCCTTCGCGCACCAGCCGCAGCGCCATCTTCTGCTGCGGCAGCCCCTTGGCGCGCAGCCATCGCTCCAGCGAGTCGAGGTCTCGCGCGGACCGCCCATCCCAACCCCACGTCGCCACCGCCTTTTCTTCGCGTTTTAATTTCTTCGGCGGCGCACGCCGCTTCTTCTTAGGCGCTTCGTCAACTACTGGCTCTTCTTCCGTCGCCGCCGCTTCCGCTGCTGCGGCGGATGTTGATGCGGCCTCCGCAGCATCCGCCGGGGCTTCCGCGACTGCAGTAGTGGCAGCGGCGGCGGCGGAAGATGCTGCTAACGTGGAATCGCCAGCTGCTGACTGGGCCGACACGTTGTCAGCAGATGCAGCCAGGACTGTAAAGTGCGCGCGGCGGGAAGAGGCGGGGATGGCAGAGCGGAAGGGGGAGGCGGCAATCGCGCGGAAATTGGAATCCACGGGAATAACGCGAAGTTGTTGGGCGGAAGAAGGGCTCGTTGAAAGCGGTGCAGGCAACGAGCCGGCCGCAATGCGGACGGCGGCGGGCGTTTGCGCCAGGAAGGAAAGCGACGCGGCCATTGGACCGCGATCGTTCAGCGAGCGACAGACGATTTGTAGTGGTAACGACTGTTGCCCGAACGCAGACCAGACTCAATTAGCAACAAATGAACGGGTACAGATGTTGAGCTTGCGAAGAGACGGAGCGGCGAATTCGTTCTACGAACCCGAGGATCCAGGAACGAGTTTAGCTCGTTCTGGATTCTAAGCTGTGCGCTTCAGCAAAACATACATTTGCCGCAAAAGGTGGCTACCTCCAAATTGTTGATTGATACCACAAATGACGAGGAACTCACAGATTCTGTTATGGTTGAAATGGTTTAAACGGTTTGTTATGGTGCCCCACGTTTAAGTACGGTAACGCATGAACCTCAAACCAATAGTTCTTTTCACCGTTCTGAAACGCACCAAAACGCAGCACAAAGGATCACTCAGAGTGGTTCATTTCAGTAACCCAATTCCCGAAGGCAGGGGAATCGATGGGGAAGTACCGTCCACGTGGAAAGGTGCTACTGGCTCTCTTGATCGCCTCCTGTGAGGCCCCCATGGCGCAAAAGCATTTCCCGAAGTGCTTGGAGGGGACAGCCCCGCACAATAGGGCGCAACAACACTTGAGTAGCATGCTTCTATATTTCTAAAAGATTTACATCAGAGTGATATGGGCACAAAAGGGCCCTGTTCGATAGCAGGGTGACCACATCTGTAAAATTTCTCCCACGGTGGGAGAAAATGGGCGGGAAATGGTCTGCGACTCCATGCAACTGTTGCGACCCCCATGCGACCAGGTTAATTTCCCGACCGCGCGAACGAAACCGCTGCGATGGCTCGGGTTTCCCGCCCTCGCGCCAAAACAAGGCGGGAAGTCTAACAACCACCAACATCCCCAAAGCGCACCCTAAAGTGACTGCCGGCGTAATCATTACATCGACCAAACAGCTCCTCTCGGGCAAAACGTGTCAGAATGTGATGGTTGTCTAGCCTGCAGTGGGGTACTCTATAGCGAGTACAGCCCTTCTAGGGTTTGCATATATGTATCCCTATGCTTGTTAGTCAACACCCTTCTTGCCTGTTTCTCGTTTTGGCCTAGCATTTTGACATGCTATCAGAGCGGGTCGACCCTCCTGGGTCGATCCTGTGGGTGGTCCCACCAGAAGCTTCCGCTGTTGTTTCCTGCTCTTTCCTGCCTGCCGCGCGCTCCGGGCGCGCAGCGATTGCGCGCGGCGGTTTTCTGCCCCGTCACTCGGCGCGTCGCCCCCGGGAGGCGCTGCGACGGGCGACGGGGACCCGCGCGTCGCCCCCCGTCGCCCGTCGTGGCCTGCGCGCGGCCCGTACAGCCGGCGCGCGGCCCGTACGGGCTGCGCCAGGCCCGCGCGCGGCCCGTACGGGATGCGCCAGGCCCGCGCGCGGCTCGGGCCGCCTGCGCGCGGTTCGGGCGGCTATGCCAGGCCCGTGGGCGGCCCGTTCCTCGCTGCCCCTGCCCTCCCCACTGTCCCCCGTGCTTCTACTGGCGCCCCACCCCTCCTACAGCCCGTTCTCCTGAATTAGGGTTTGGGGGTGAGGGGTATGGGGGTGAAGCCACTGAGTGCCATTCCCCTCCTCCTCCTCCTTCTCCGTCTCCCACTGCTGCAGCTGCCGCTGAGGGGGGTGGGTGTGTGGGAGCCGAGGGAGTGGCGCTAGGGGGTGTAGTGTGAGCGGTGCTAGGGGAACAGCAGGGGGTGTGTAAAAAGGGGGTGGGACAGCTGGGGGAAGTTGAGAGGAGGCCGTCGACTTGTCGTCCGCAGCGCCTGAAGTCCAGGGAGCCACGACCCCCTGTGGCCTGAGTAGTCCGGGGCTCTGCGCCCGGTAGCTACAGTGTGTGCACTCCTGGGAGCACAGCGAGCCAGCTGCGACCCCCTGTCGCCGTGTAGTCCGGGTTTAGCCTGGTAGCGTCAGTGCAGCGTACTCCTGCTGCCTGTGTGTCTGCAGCTTCAGCCGTCGCCTCTCATCTTCTTGCTCCCACAATTTCTCCTCCTCCTCACTTGCCCTCTGTGATAGCCTCTAGCTTTGCTTATAATTGTGAACTATTGCTCTGTCTGCTTGTTGTGTTGATTGTACCCCACTTTGACTATGGGGGTGTGTCAGAATGTGATGGTTGTCTAGCCTGCAGTGGGGTACTCTATAGCGAGTACAGCCCTTCTAGGGTTTGCATATATGTATCCCTATGCTTGTTAGTCAACACCCTTCTTGCCTGTTTCTCGTTTTGGCCTAGCATTTTGACAAAACGACCCCCCTGTTAAGTTGTAATGTGTTATTTATATGTAGGTAGGCTGTAGTGGGGTAGCCAATACAGGGTACAAACCCAACTAGGGTTAGCTACTTGTACCCAACTGTTTCTTTCAATGCATCATTCTTGCCTAGTTCTTTTCACATGGTATTCAGAGCAGGAGGTCCCTAGGACCTACCGACCGTTTTTTTTAAGGGCCCACCACCGCTCGCATGCGGTTACCACGCTACCCCGTGCCCTAGCCTCGTAGCGCCCTCGTGCGCCCTCGTTAGCGCCCTCGTGCGCCCTCGTTAGCGCCCTCGCGCGCCCTCGTTAGCGCCCTCGCGCGCCCTCGTTAGCGCCCTCGCGCGCCGCTAGCGCCCTCGCGCGCCCTCGCTAGCGCCCTCGCGCGCCCTTGTTAGCGCCCTCGTGCGCCTCTCGTTAGCGCCCTCGCGCGCCCCTCGCAGCGTCGCCCGCCCGCCGAGCCGCCCACTCGCAGCGTCGCCCGCCTACCGCGCTGCCCGTTTCGCAGCCCGCCCGCCGCGCTGCCCGCTCGCAGCGTCGCCCGCCCGCCCGCTGCCCGCTTGCAGCGTTGCCCGCCCGCCCGCTGCCCGCTTCGCAGCGTCGCCCGCCCGCCGCGGTGCCCGCTCGCAACGTCGCCCGCCCGCCTCGCTGCCCGCTTGCAGCGTCGCCCGCCCGCCCCGCTGCCCGCTTCGCAGCCCGCCCGCCGCACTTCCCGCCTGCAGCGCCGCCTGCCCACCGCCCTGCCCGCTTCGTAGCCCGCCCCCCGCACTGCCCGCTCGCCGCGTCGCCCGCCCGCCGCGCTTCCCGCCGAGCTACCTACCTGCAGCGCTGCGGCAGCTTCCTTTGCTCAGTCGCACTGTCGCTATGGCTTCCATCCGCGTGCTGTCGTTCGATGCTGAGGGCCGCCCTGTGAAGTTCGCCACTTGGCTGGATGACCTGCAGCTGTTCCTTCTGAGCGATAGCAAGGAGCATGTGTCGCTCTATGATTACGCGTCTGGTGCTGCACCTGCCCCTCCTGCCACAGCTGAGCTTAGTGTTCGTTCCCACTGGCAGACTCGTGACGCAGCTGCTCGCCTAGCCATTCGCAGTCACCTGCCGCTAGCTGAGCTCGAGCATTTTGGCGACTGCAAATCCGCTAAGGCCCTGTACGATGATGTCGTTGCTCGCTACTCCTCGCCTGCCACAGCCGAGCTTAGCCGCCTCATGCTGCCGTACCTGTTCCCTGAGCTGTCCACCTTTGCTACAGTCGCCGATCTTATCACCCACCTTCGCACTAGTGATGCTCGCCTGCGTGCCGCCCTTCCCACCGAGTTCTGCGCTAAGAATCCCCCTCCACTGTACTGGACACTCCACTTCATAGTCACCTGTCTCCCTGACACCCTCAGCTCAGTTTGAGACCACTTCCTTGCTCGCTGTCCCACTGAGCTCACAGTCGCCCTCCTAGAGGAGCAGCTGCTAGCGGCCGAAAAGAGCATTGTAGCTGTCGGTGCTGCTCGTGGCGCTCCTCGCACCCCCATCTTTGAGGGGTGTTCTCCCTCTCCCCTCGCTCCCTCCTACGCTGTTGCTGCTGCTGTTGACTTCCTTGGTGCTGAGTCTGCTGGCGCTGCTTCTGCTCCTGGTGGGAGGCGCCGCACCGGCAAGGGCAAGGGGGGCAAGGGTGGCGGGGGTGGCGCTGGGGGGGGAGGAGGTGGGGGAGGTGGGGGGGGAGGCGGTGCTGGAGGGAGCGGTGGCGGGAGCGCTGGTGGGAGTGGGGTCGGCGGTGGAGGCGGGGGCGGCGGAGGAAGCAGTGGCAGTAGTGGCGGCGGCGGCGGTGGCGGCGGTGGCGGTGGTGGCGGTGGCGGTCGGAGCGGTGGTAGTGGTGGCGGCGGAAGTCGGAGTGGAGGCACTGGCTCGGGCCAGAGCTCCCAGCAGCAGCAGCGTCCCCAGACGACCCAGCAGCTTCGTGAGTGGCTTGCTCAGCGTGGGACGTCGGGGGGCAGTGGCCGCTGTTCTTATGTCATTCGCACAGGTGACCGCAAGGGACAGACGTGTGGGAGGTTCCACACCCCGTACCGCTGCTTCTCCCGCCTTGACGACGCTTGGCGTGAGGAGATGGGTGCGGATGTTGAGCGCCCCCGCTGGGCTGAGCTCATGAGGGCTGGTGTTGATGTCTTTGCTCTTGACTATGATGCTATTATTGCTGCCATGTATGCATTGACTGTTAGTGCCGAGGGAGACTGTTACTTGTGTGTGCCGCCTGACCCAGGTATAGAGCCCGCTGCCCTGGGTACTAGTGAGTCTGCTCTCTCTGGTATGGTGCCCCCTGTACTTGCTCCCTCCAGTGCTGTCCCGGCTGTTTGCGAGTCTGCTCTCTCAGGTACAGCACCCACAGAGACTGCTCTCTCAGGTACCGCACCGGCTGAGGCCTGTTACACCTTCACCCTTGACTCAGGTGCTTCCCGCTGTTTCTTTCGTGACAGTACTGAGCTCACACCGCTTCCTGCACCGGTCCCAGTCTCCTTGGCTGACCCCTCTGGGGGCCCAGTCCTTGCCCAGTCCACCACTGTGCTCCCTTGTCCGGCGGTTCCGTCTGGCTCGTTGTCGGGTTTCCACCTCCCCTCGTTCTCGACGAACCTGGTGAGCAACGCTGTCATCCAGGATCAGTGGGTTGACACCTTTACCCCTGGAGGACAGCGTGTGGCGATCTGCACGTGCTCCAGGACCGGCCGTCACCTGGCTACGTTTACCCGTCGGCCGGGGTCGAGTCTCTACACACTGACCACTGCGTCTCCTCAGGTCGCTGCTGTCCGTCAGGTGTCCGCGTCAGGTCTAGTGGCCCACGCCTGTGAGTGTCGTTCCCTGTCGCACCAGACTCTTCTCTGGCACCACCGCCTGGGTCACCCCTCCTTGCCACGCCTCCGTGGCATGCACCGTCGCCGCCTTGTGTCTGGTCTTCCCAGGTCCCTCCCTCCCCTCCCTGCCTCGCCTGCGCCGCCTTGCCTTCCTTGCGTCGAGGGGCGGCAGCGCGCCGCTCCTCTCTCCTCCTCGTTCCCCCCGACAGAGGCTCCTCTGCAGACCCTCCACCTGGACGTGTGGGGCCCAGCCCGCGTTCGTGGCCAGGGCGGTGAGCGGTACTTTTTGCTGGTTGTCGACGACTACTCGCGTTACACCACGGTCTTCCCCTTGCGCACCAAGGGTGAGGTCCCTGCTGTTCTGATCCCTTGGATCCGCACAGTTCGTCTCCAGCTCCGCCGCCGTTTCCGGACGGATCTTCCTGTCCTGCGTCTGCACTCTGACAGAGGTGGTGAGTTTTCCTCCGATCTCTTAAGGACCTTCTGTCAGGCGGAGGGCATCGAGCAGACCTTCACGCTTCCGGACTTCCCACAGCAGAATGGGGTTGCTGAGCGCCGCATTGGCCTGGTCATGGAGGTCGCTCGTACCTCCTTGGTCCACGCGGCGGCTCCCCATTTTCTGTGGCCGTTTGCTGTCCCGTACGCCGCGCATCAGCTCAACCTCTGGCCCCGTGTCTCCTTGCCGGAGACCTCGCCCACACTGCGTTGGACGGGAGAGGTTGGCGATGCGTCGCGCTTCCGGGTGTGGGGTGCTCGTGCCCTTGTCCGCGATACGTCCGCGGACAAGCTCTCCTCCCGCACACTTCCCTGTGTCTTCCTTGGCTTTGTCCCTGACGCGCCGGGCTGGCAGTTTTACCACCCCACCTCGCGCCGGGTCTTCGCCTCTCAGGACGTCACCTTTTACGAGTCGGTCCCTTATTACCGTCTCTTCCCCTTCCGCACTGCCCCCCTCCCTCCCCCGCCGCTTTTCCTTGCTCTTGGTCCCCCTCCGGTAGACCCCCTTCCCCCTCAGGGTCCTGCTCCTTCAGGTGTCTCTCAGGTAGACCCTCCTCCCGTCGCTGAGCCTATCGAGGTCACAGGTGACTCAGGTGCTGCTGCAGGTGGTGCTGCTGGGAGTGCTGAGCCTGGGGGTGCTGAGCCTGCGGGTGCTGGGCCTGGGAGTGCTGGGACTGCGGGTGCTGGAGCTGAGGGTACTGTGCCTGGGAGTTCGGCGCCTGGGGGTACTGAGCCTGGGGGTGCTACGACTGGGGGTGCTGAGCCTGCGTGTACGGAGTCTGGGGGTGCTGAGCCTGGGTGTACTGCGCCTGAGGGTACTGAGCCTGGGGGTGCTGCTGCTGAGCCTACGGAGCCTGGGGGTGCTCTTCCTGGCGGTACTGGAGCTGCTGGGGCTGACGACGCTGGAGCTGACGGTTCTGGACACGGTGGTCCTGCTGGTTCTGGAGGTGCTGGCGAGGGGAGGTCTGACGCTGCTGGGGCCTCTGGTGCTGACGTCGCTGACTCGGGGGGTGCTGCGGTGGAGGGTGCTGGTCCAGGTGCTTCTGGTGCTTCGGGTGCTGGAGGTGCTGGCGAAGCTCAGCCGTCGCGCCTGTTCTTCGCTCCTCCGTCGCCGTCGGCTTTGCCGCCGCCTGACACGGTGCTTCGCCAGGTTCTTTCCCTCCCGTCTTCCACTGGCCTTCCCCTTCAGCCTGGCTCCTCCCTCCCTGCTCCTGTGCCTTATACTGCACAGCCGGACTCGCTTACGGAGCGTCGTGAGCCTGCGTCTCGTCCTGCCTCGCCTGTTCGCGCTGCTCGCACTGTTCGCACTGGTCCCACTAGCCGTCGTGTCGCGCGTCCGCGTCCTCCTCCTGTTCCTGGCACGCACATTATGGCACTTCGTCCTTCCACTGGTCCACAGCGTGTCCCCCTACCGTCTCCTCCTGCGTCTTCTCTTCCTGACGTTCCCGACCCTGAGTCTGATAGTGTTCGTGCTGCCCACCCTACTGTCACGCGTCTTCTCGCCACTGTTGTCACTGACCCGTCGTTTGAGTCTTCTGCTGCGTCTGCCCTGGTCGCTGAGCTTGTCGACTTTGCTGCTGCCTGTCGCCTCGACTACGCCGCCAGTCTTGTTGCTGGGTCTGAGTCTGTCTGTCCTCCGTCCGTCGGGGGTGAGTGTGCTCTTGGCACGGACGTCCTTGAGGACAGGCAGGAGGACTTTGACTCTCTCGCGGCTGCTGTACCTCATCTCGTGGCCTGGTTGCTTGCCCCTGAGGGAGACCCGGATGCACTAGACATCCCCACTCCGCGCACTTACGCAGAGGCGATCTCGGGTCCCTACTCCTCTCAGTGGCAGACAGCCATGGACGCAGAGATGGCATCCTGGAAGTCCACAGGCACCTACGTCGACGAGGTTCCCCCTCCTGGGGCGAACATCGTCGATGGCATGTGGATTTTCAGGGTGAAGCGGCCGCCAGGTTCTCCCCCTGTCTTCAAGGCTCGTTACGTTGCTAGAGGCTTCAGTCAGCGACAGGGAGTTGACTTCTTTCAGACCTTCTCCCCCACCCCAAAGATGACCACTCTTCGGGTTCTGCTGCACGTTGCTGCTCAGCGTGACTACGAGCTTCACTCTCTTGACTTCAGCACAGCGTTCCTGCAGGGCAGCCTGCACGAGGAGATCTGGCTGCGCCGCCCACCTGGCTTTACTGGGTCGTTTCCTCCTGGTACCCAGTGGAGCCTCCGCCGGCCAGTCTACGGTCTCCGCCAGGCGCCACGTGAGTGGCACGACACACTGAGGACTACACTTGCGGCTCTTGAGTTCGCGCCGTCTACTGCTGACCCGTCGCTGTTTCTGCGCACAGACACGTCGCTGCCGCCGTTCTACATCCTCGTGTACGTCGACGACTTGGTCTTTGCTACTGCTGACACTGAGGCACTCGCTCGTGTGAAGTCGGAGCTGCAGAAGAGACACACCTGCACTGACCTGGGTGAACTGCGCAGCTACCTTGGCTTGCAGATCACCCGGGACAGAGCTCGCCGCACCATCACCCTGACTCAGTCACACATGGTGCAGCAGGTCCTTCAGCGCTTCGGCTTCCAGTTCTCCTCACCACAGGCCACACCTCTGGCTACCAGCCACTCGCTCTCAGCTCCACCTTCGGACGAGTCCGTAGAGCCGAGTGGCCCGTACCCAGAGCTTGTAGGCTGCCTCATGTACCTGATGACTTGCACGCGACCTGACCTCGCGTACCCTCTTAGCATCCTTGCTCGTTACGTTGCGCCTGGGAGACACAGGCGAGAGCACTGGGAGGCTGCTAAGAGGGTGCTGCGTTACTTGTGCAGTACATCTGGCATGGGGCTGGTGCTTGGAGGACGCGACAGAGTTGTCCTCACTGGTCACTCGGACGCTTCTTGGGTGGACGACCTGGCTACGCAGCGGTCGTCACAGGGTTACACCTTCAGCCTTGGCTCTGGTTCTGTCTCATGGCGGTCCACCCGCTCTTCTTCTGTTCTCGGCTCTAGTTGTGAGGCTGAGATCTACGCCACAGCCATGGCTGCACAGGAGTTACGCTGGCTCACCTACCTGCTGACTGACTTGGGAGAGCGGCCTAGTTCTCCTCCAGTTCTGTACGGTGACAACAAGGCGGCTCTTGCCTTGTGTCAGGAGCACAGACTGGAGCACAGGACGAAGCACATTGCTCTTCGCTATTTTCTTGCTCGAGAGCTTCAGCAGCGCGGTCAGCTTCGGCTTGTGTACGTGGACTCGAAGGCCAACACTGCTGATATCTTCACCAAGGCGCTCCCGCCTAGTGATCATCAGCGGCACTGTACTTCTTTAGGCCTTGTGTCCACGTTTCCTCACTTGCTGACTGCTTGACATTCTTTGTACTGTACTTTATATTTGTCTTGCTGCTTGTCCTGTTCTATATCTAGCACTACATATGAACTGGCCTTGTGGCCTTTGTTTGTGCTCGGAGTGTGGTGACGTTGTGATCCACCCTGGGCTTGTTTTTGCTTTGCTGGACTGGTCTTGTGACCCTTTGCTCTCCCCCACTTTGCCTATGGGGGTGTGTTAAGTTGTAATGTGTTATTTATATGTAGGTAGGCTGTAGTGGGGTAGCCAATACAGGGTACAAACCCAACTAGGGTTAGCTACTTGTACCCAACTGTTTCTTTCAATGCATCATTCTCGCCTAGTTCTTTTCACACCCCCCGCTCGACACCAATGCCATTTCTACTTTCAGGAGAAGTCACAACCATTCCACACGGAGGGGCTATTTGGGGATAGTCTAAACGAAAGGTTTCCCCAGGTTAAGCTGCCCAAATTAAGGGTATGAAAAACCAACCGAAACATACGGTGAAATCAGGGTTTGCTTCTTGAGTCCTCAAGTTGAGCGTGAGGTTCGTGTCACCCATTCCTTTTTTTTCCCTTTTGGACTCGATCTGGGTTTTTTGTTTGGGCAGACCAAACATCACCGTGGGGAAACCTTCGCCTCGCTCACTGGCCACTGTTTCCACTTCAAACGACCGTTGAGCCTGTGGTGTGACACACCTTGGCCGTTGGGCGAGGTGATCGAAGCCGGCAGGCAGTCGGCTTTAATCATTACCCTGCCGGCGGTGCCGAACGCTTAACCTTTTGTCTTTACGCTCCCACCATTGTGCTTGGACAATGGTGGGAAGATTGTTCCCGAATTGCTATCGAACAGGGCCAAGGTCTATGGAAAATGGTTCCCCTGTACGGGAATGGCTGTTGCCTATTGCATCTAATTCATGCGTTTTTGTGAAGTGTAACTTATCGATCATATTATTTTTCAAAGATACCTTTCAAGACTTTTTTTTTTTCCTCGTTAATGTACAGAGAAGGAAAACCTGCGAGCAGTATATGAGGATGGCAGCACCCTCACAGACCCAATCACGAGCACCCTCACCAACTCCACAGCAGAACCAGGCCCATTAGTACAGTGAGCTCGAGATGCGACTGAGGCGAGAGCTGGTCAGGTGAAAGGCCCAAGTAGACTGCTGCAGCGCCTATTAAGAGGTCTCAAAGATCGTGTATAAACCGCCACAAGGCCCAGGCAAACTGCTGCGTCTTCTGAAATCTCTCAAGGGTCATGCGAGAATCACAAGGCCCAGGTAGACTGCTGCACCAGCTAGAAACAGCGATATGACGCCCCTGCAGGACACATGCACGAGGAGGTAAAGAGAAAGGAATGCAAGTCGTTACGAAAGGAGCTGGACTACAAACAAATAGCACATCTCATGGCCTCCTTCCATGCGGCTCTCACCAACACCTTCGAGTCGACTCAAAGTGGCTGAATCAAAGTCACCTGAGAATGCAAGTCGTTTCCAAAGGAGTCAGTTGGACGACAAACAATTAGCACATCGCGTGACCTCCTTCTACACGACTCGCATGTATCCCTCATTATCACGTGGAATATAATTCCCACAGTATCATAATTATTGAAGCACCTAGAAAGTCACCTTTCACCAGTCTCTCCTTGCCACATGGAATATTATTCCCACAACATCACGCCCAGCTCGCACTACACACTTGTGTTCATCATCTCACCCCTCATGTGCCCCTCACAACCTCATCTCACCCCTCATGTGCCCCTCACAACCTCATCTCACCCCTCATGTGCCCCTCACAACCTCATCTCACCCGTCATGTGCCCCTCACAACCTCATCTCTCCCCTCATGTGCCCCTCACAACCTCATCTCTCCCCTCATGTGCCCCTCACAACCTCATCTCTCCCCTCATGTGCCCCTCACAACCTCATCTCTCCCCTCATGTGCCCCTCACAACCTCATCTCTCCCCTCATGTGCCCCTCACAACCTCATCTCTCCCCCCCCCCCCCCCATACACACCCTCACCAACTCACTCCTCAGGAGGCGCCCACAGAAGGCCATAGGCGCCAACTCACTGGAAGATGTCCCAAGATCTGCTACCACACAAACACAAGTACATCACTTGACAGGCCTGGTGCTCACCAGATGACCCCCCAGCACACCCCAGCCAA